GCCCGCGGCGCCCGGCGCCGCCATAGCCTTGGCCTTGGGCCCCCCAGGCTCCGCCTCCTACTCGTCCTCTTCGGCCTCGGCTAGCCCGAGCTCCGCCCTGCTCGGTGGCAGGGCCCTGGGTGTGTGCCAGCCTCAAGTGACCCAAGCCGGAGGAGGAGGGGGCTGGCCGCTTAGTGGGGGGAGACGATGAAGGGAGGCTGGCTTCTTCCGGCGGGGATTATCACCCCCGGCCGAGCCGCATCTCTTTGTGCTCGGTGCTGAGAACAGGGGCGGGGAGGTTTGGGAGGGGCTGTCGCTTTCTTCCCCTTGGACCGTTTTATCCGGCTTCTGGCCTCGTTGAACCGAAGGTGCTTTTCCCAAAGTTCCCAGTGGTCTCCTAATGGCCAAACCTTTTCTCTGTCCCCGGATCTTCTTGGTCTCTCTGTGGCACTGGACACGCTTGACCACTTTCTGGATTTTGTGACATGGCTCTCCCTCTATCCTGGCCCTCTTAAAAGGGTCTGGTGGATCCCCTATCTCCTCCTCTCTCTTCCTTTCCCTTGATATATATATATATATATATACAGAGAGAGAGAAAGATATCTACAGTGACTTTCCTGATTGTCTTTGTGTCTGTATTTGGCACATTGTAGGTGCTTAATAAATGCTTAATTAATTAATACTTAGTAAATTGCTTAATTGATTGAATACATCCTGATTGACCTACCTGCCTGTTGTAAGCAGGGGTAATTTTTAGCACCTCTCTTAGCCCCTAGTAGCCTGCTAAACTCAGATTATAGAGAGCAGATTGTGGTTCACTTTATTCTTTTCAAGTATTTACAGACCACTCCCTTGATCTATTTTCCAACTTTAAAATACAAAACACAAAGAGTACTTGGCGTTTGTGGGTGTAATAACCTGGGGTGTGTTGTAAGTTTCCTAAATCTATATCCCTTAGCACCACCTCCCGTCCTAACCATCCTTTATGTAAGACTTCCCTAAAAGTCTTAACCTCAACCAGCACAAAAGAGCAGCTAACCTGGCTGCTACATTCATGAGCCTGAGACTGTGACAAACATTTATTGAATATTTATGGCCTGCAGAGAGCCCAGTGAGAGGAAATGAGCAGAGCTTGTGATACAACGGAAACACACGAAGGATCCTTGGGAGCAGGGGATGGAGCGTCAGTGTCTGTAACCAAGTAACCACGAGTAACTAAGAGAGATTTTGCCAGCAATAAGCAATAATCCACAAGTATTTGATAAGCTCCAGCTACATGCCAGAAAATGGACGAAACTAGAGATACAAATGTAATAAATGAAATAATTCCCACTTGCAAGGAATTTACATTCTAATGAAGAAAAAAAAAGGAAAAAAAAACAAAGAGGTGTGCATGTATATGTAAATCTATACATAAAATGCATATGTATGTATGTAAATACAGAATAAATATAATGCAATAAATGCAAAGTAGTTTGAGAGAGAGGAAAGTAGCAGTTGAGCAGAGCAGGAGAGATTTCATGCAGAAAGTGTAGTTTTGGAGGCAGAGGTGCGGAGGAAGTACACTCTAGAGATGGGAACCAGCCAGTGACAGTCTTGAATCCTGTGTGAGGATCAGAGAAAAGGCCACATTATAAAGTGCAGGAGGACTACTGTACAATGGGGCTGGAAAAATGTTGGGCCGAGGTTGTGAAGGGCTCCAAAAATCAAGCAGGGCATTTGTATGTAAATCTAGAGACAATAGGGAGCCAGGGCAGTTTATTGCCTAGAGGATTATCTGGACTTGATGGAAATCACTTTGACTACACCTGTTACACTTTCCTGATCTGATTTAGATGGCATCCCATTTTGCCTGGTTTACTCTGTTTTTCTTTTGCTGATAAATCACAAAGTTAAATATACAAAAAAAGCCATCCTATAGCTTATGAACCAAAGATAGCCTACAGATGGGGTCTGAAATGTGGGTAGAGTGAAAGAAAATTCTTAGCATCCAAGGGGAAATTATAGGGGAGAGCTAGAGGGTTGTGACAGCTAACTCTGAATTATTTTCCCCATACCAGGATTTCTTAACTTGGACTCTGTTAACTTGCTTTTCGTTTTAATGTTTTGATAATTCTATGTCAATATACAGCTGAATGATTTCCCTTGCAATCCTATACATTTTATTAATTTAAAAACATCGTTTGTAAAAGAGGTCCATAACACAGACACACACACACAGGCACAGACACAGACACAGATACACACACACACACACACACACACACACACACACACACAAGGTGAAGAACTCATGCCCTTCATCAAAGTACTTTGAATCCATTGTACTTGGCCAGTGTGGGAATGTATTGTGCTGAAATAAGCACTCTATCCACTGCATCACCTAGCTGTCCTCTCCAATTACATGTAAAAACAATTTTTAAGATTCATTTAAAAAAATTTTGAGTTTCAAATTCTGTCCTTTTCCCTCCCCTCACTGAGAAAGCAAGCAATTTGATATAGCTTATACATGTGAAATCATGCAAAAGATATTTCCATATTAATCATGTTGTGAAAGAAAACACAGATCCCCCACCTTCAAAAAAATACAGCAAAAATAAAGGCTTTTTTTAAAGTATGTTTTGATCTGTATTCAGACTCCATCAGTTCTTTCTCTGAAAATGGATAACATTTTTCATCATAAGCCCTTCAGAATTCTCTTGGAACCTTGTATTGCTGAGAATAGCTAAGTCATTCACAGCTGATCATCATACAATATTGCTGTTACTTTGTTATCCTGACAGTGGCTCCATGATATTTAAATTGTTGCTTTCTGGCAATATTATCTCTCTTCAATCTACCATGCCAATCAAACTCTCAAAAATTGTTTCATTGATCTAGAAATTTTTTTAATAAATAAATAAATTAATTAATTAATTAATTAAATAGATTTTTAATTTATCTGGAAAAACAAAAGGAGCAGAGAATCAAGAGAATCAATGAAAAAAAAAAGTGAAAGTGACCTAGCAGTACCAGATCTTAAATTGTATTACAAATGGTAATCATCAAAACAATCTGGGACTGGCTAAGAAATAAGAGTGGTGGATCAATGGAATAGATTAGATATACAATATACAGTAATAAAAGTTTAGTATTTGATAAACCCAAAGGCAGAAGCTTTTGGGACAAGAACTCATTATTTGGCAAATATTGCTAGGAAAACAGGAAAGCAGTTTGTCAGAAACTAAGTATAGACTAACATCTCACACCATATGCCAAGATCAGGTCAAAATGAATAAGTGATTTAGATATAAAGGGTGATATGAGCGAATTATAAGAGCATGGAAAATTCACCTGTCAGCTCTATGGATAAGG